CAGGCCCCATCCCCTGCCTGCTCCCCCAGCTCCCCTGAGTGCCCCCCAACTCCTGCCTGCTTCCCCAGCCCCACCTCCCATGGCTGCCCTGTCTGCCCCAGCAACCAGGTCTTTAAAAAAAAAAAAAGCCCACACTCACCAGCTGCTGCAGCAGCCTTGGAGCTTCTGGGGGTTGTGGCAGAGCTCCCCGCCCCCGCAGTGCAGGGCAGTGGGAGGCAGCGGGGATTGCTCCCCCCTTTCCCCCCACAGCCTGGCAGGAGCCAGTGAGTATCGGGGGGGGTTGTTTGGTTTTTTTTTAAGAACCAGGAGCTGGGGCTGGGCAAGGGAGCCATAGGGGAGGGCTGAGGAAGTGGCCGGGGGTTGGGAGGCTTGTGGCTGAGCCCCCCAACACAGTGTGGGGCAGTGGGGATTGATTCAGGACAGTGATTCGAATCACTGAATCAAATTACTGCCCCCTGAATTGGCTGAAGCTGAATCCGAAACGAATACTAGCCGCTTCGCACAAGCCTAGTTTTCAAGCCAGTCTCATGATTTCTTAACTTTTATGATTGGCAGCAGCAAGCATGAGATGAGAATTATAGCATCTTTGAAACTAGGAAAAGAAAAGCATTGGGAAGTTAACTGCTTATGGTGTGAAGAGGAGGCCAGGAAATACATCAGTAAAATTTGGTGACGAGTTTCTGCCTGTGATGCCTCAGGTGAGGTGGAGAAACATCATCATGAACATAAGAAATCAAAGAACTCTCAAGTAAAAGTTTCTCTATAGTTGTTGAATTTGAAATCCTGCAAAAGGAACAGGACTTTCCACATAATTCCTCTTCTAGGCGTGGTCAAAACCAGGATAGGTAGTAAAAGTAGCAAATTAAATGAAGAATACCAACAAAAATAAGTATGTGTCCAGTAATCTGATTAATGTGTCCAGTAAATTGAACTTTACTTATCCCCCATCCCGCAACCACAAAAAAAGTTGCTAAAGTTCTGGGTGAAGAGTTTGGTTCTAATTTTATACGAGCCAGTTAGCCCATCCCTAATCTAAATATCTTAGCTTCAAAACGCAAATCATAAGAAATGAAACAGTACTTTCACCAGGGGTATTAGAGTTTACAAGATCAAAGTAACTAATCTTTTTCCATAACTGGATTTATTCTTTGATGCTTCTGAACTGAAATATATACTGCGAGATTTGGCATAAACAAATCATCAGCTTGGATAAAGATCTGGTGAGTCTGCCAGTATGGTTAGGCACTGAAATGATTATATCCTATAAAATTAAATAGACTTTTATTGCACAGAGCCAATTATCTTCACTGCATATACATATACATTTCCCCACCCAACAACTCAAAATGAAGCCTTTAGTATGAACTTTTTTTACTCAGCTGAATGTTGATTGGCTGAAAAGCACTAGTAAGAGACAGATCCCAGAGAAGGAAATGTTTATTCTTGCCTAAACTCAGCCAAGGAAATTTTCTATGGTGGAAAAAACTGCCTCACCCCATAGACTGCCATAATGGGAAGGGTATAAATAGAAATAAAAATATAAATTCCTACTTGTTTACAAGTCAAAATTTAACTCCTGAGTTCCCAGAGACCAGAATGCCATTTCTACTCCGTACAGACAGTTCAAAACAGAAGTGCAAAGCACAATAAACCTGACTCTATGTATTTCTTGCACCTGAATCCAATTCTGTTTCCAGGGAAGTCAACAGCTATACTCTTTTTGACTTAAACTTAAAAATAAAGGACCAGTATCTATATTCTCACATAGCTTTCACTAGTATCACAGTATCATAGTATTCACTAGATGTGACTCTGCAACTAAAATAAATGCAGATACTTTTATTAATAAAGAAAGACCTGATAACTTAGTCCTTTATAAGGGCAGTTCCAACTACACAATCTGCAGGATTTTATTCTATGCTACACCCTGTACTTCAGATATCCCGTAAGTGATTAATAAATACATGATGGAGACATGCATGTATAGCACATTCCACCCTCTACATCAGAATCTTCTTAAAGGAACGGGTGCCCTCCTACCATTTATAATATGACCTCCGATCTGATTTTAAGACCTTTTTTTCCTCATCACATTTGTTGGTAATAAAATAAAGCAGATATTTATTTTGGAAAAATAGATAACTATAATGAACAAACAAGCATTTTCACTTTGATTCTTTCTCTTTTGTATTGTGCCACTGAAGAAATTCAGTTCCTATAGCCTTGTAAATAAAAAGCCCACTTCAAATATCAGTGAGGAGAATATTACTGTTTCTCCTGAGAATCACACTTGCTAGGCTCACAGTACATATTTTCTAAACACAACGTACACTTGCATAGGCACATATGCTACATATTGGTTTAATTTCTGCATATACCCTCCAGTGACATCCCAGCATCTAATATGGTGGAAAAAAAACTGTATCTACATAATACATGCAAAAAGCAGTATTTCTAAATGACTAAATATGTTTTTAGTATGGTTTTTGCAAGAAACAAATGACTTTCCCTCATAATCCATGCATTTGTTTTCACAAACATCACACAGTAAATGTCAAACTGTAATCACTCATTTCTTCCTTCTGCTAAGTATGATTAACAAAAGTATCTGGCATTTTCACAGGCCACCCTGTTTCCAAAGTTCTTTACAAAAACTAATTGTGCCTCCAAATCCTTGTGTTAACCAAGCCAATGCATATAGTTTTGCCCATTTTCATAAATGAAAAAAATGAAGCCATGAGTCTAATTCTGGAGACCTTATTCACATGAGCAAGGGCTCCAGGCTTGGGAAGTTACGTGATCAATTCATGGCCTGCCAGAGAGTTAATGAACAGTCTCAAGATGGCTTTAGCTCCTGGTGTTCACTTGTTACCTAACTAACATTAGGCTTTTCCTTTAGCACCTTGGGTGGGAATAACAGGATATGCCATACTGTGTTCACTCACCTTAAAGAGTCCTGGCAAGATTTCCAATGAACTGTAATGTCATATTAGGCTTTAATGTTATTGTTCTGCTGTATGGCCATATAATCAATACTCTAGGGCCTAGAAGGAGAAGGAGGAGGAGGAAGAGAAGGAAGACAAGAAATAGTCTTCTTTCTTTTTCCTAGATTTAAAACAAAAAGGTTCCCTGGAGTTCTGAATAATTGTGCAGATGGAGTTTCCATGCATGCTGCAGTTTCTCTACTGAAATGACAAATAGCCTTTGGGAGACAAGAACTAAAATGAGTTGGACCTGGGTGCTGCAACTTTATGGCACTGGGCTGCTACCCCTGTGAGAGCCATGCAGACATGCAGTCCTGCTAGCTTGCAAGAAGCTGAGAGATTACATCACCACTACAATTCTTGAACAAAGATGACAACACTGGAAGGACTAATCGTTGACTCAATTTATTTTTCAGCTTTCTATCACTTTCTTCTGTTTTAGCATTGTTTTCTGTTACCCAGCACCAAAATACGTAAGGACCTTCTACCTAGGGAGGTCCGTTGTAGTAGTGATTAGAGTAATATTGATTTGAAATACTGCATTGGAACATAGAACTGTGGCAAGATGCTTTACTAGCACTAGCATCCTGAATCAGCCCTTTAATAAAATATTTTTTCTGAGTACCTCCAAGTAAGTTATAAGCTACAAGTGTTACCTGTGCATACTTCCCAGTGCATATCATCCCATTCCACCTTGGAACTGTGAGACAACCTGGATGACGAAGCAGGGAGTTGTCCGCTCTGCCTATGAAGGTGTCTGGATATCCCGTCACTGAACCATCCAGATCATGAAAAACAGAAACTTTGTCACCATCATTATCATTGTCTCCAAACCATTGGCCTGGTCTACCAAAGAAAACCTTCAGCCCAACCTACAAGAAAGAGACCAAAAAAAAAAAAAAGAGGTTGCTGGTGCCACCACAGCTGCTTACGAAGATGAACAGAGGCACATTTATCCACCTCAATTAGAAATATCTCTGAAGTAGAAAGCCCTATGAACTCACCAAGATTTATGTAAGTGTTGCCACCTGTATAATGGATGTATTTAAACACACTTTTGGCTATAAAACATTTATTTTCTTGGGTGCATTCTTCTTGATTTGTTTCTTAAATCTGATAATTGTTTATTCTCCCTACTGATATTTGTTTTCATGAAAATAGTGCCTTTGGATCCAAGATGTTCATTTACTCCTGCTACTTATTCCTTAAAGTCATACACAGCAATTAACTATGATGTGCTGTAAACAAGGATATGACTTGAGGAATAAAGATACCTTGAAAGCCTCTTCAATGACAAGTGAGCAAGCATCCTCTTGAATGGAAATGTTCCAAGAAACAAAAAAAAGCGATCAGATATATGCAGAATTTTTTCCCCCAAAGCATATTTCCAAAGGTTGCCATAAGCAGTTCTTGAAGGCACCTTTATTTTTAAATGTTCCCATTTAGCTTAATTAATCTCCAGTGTGAAACAGCAACTCTTCTCAGATTTTACACTGGTGGATATTCTAACATGATATGAACATATTTCTTTTTTGAGGGGAAGAAACATGATACAGCAGCTAAAAATATTACTTTCGTTATGCACTTCTCCAGTATTTAAAATAGTTGAACAGCACAGTAATAACAGTTAAAACAGTCAAATCAGTAAAATCATAAAGTCTGACATAAAAACTATTAAGAAGTAAAGAACCTGCAAAAGTGTTGACTATTTGGTGTCTGTGGGTAAAGCAATGTGGGCACAAGGGGACAGTGAATCTACATGCTGTAGGTTATACGAGTAATGTTTTCACATGTGGACAAGAGTTTACATACCAGGTGCCAGCCAACCAAGGGCTTTGAAAGCTTGATCTTAAAAACCTCAGTAGGGCAACTGAGAATGATAAGAGCCTGTCAGTATTTCTTCATCGCATGAATAGTCCTGTTGGTCTACAAAGGATTAATAATGGGATAACAACTACTTGCACAAGTCAAGGTTTCAGGACGTTTAGTTTAGACTAATCAAATCAGATTGGGTGCCAATTTTCTGTCCTTCTCCTAATCTCACTCCTGGTCTCTTACACTAATATGTAACTCAGTCCTATTTTTAAAATAATCAAAACACAGATTTTGTATGCAAATTTTTGGGCAATTTCAATTCTGTTCTCATCTCACTGAAGCAAACCTTCAGTGAGCTATTTGGCAAAGAAGGATCCTAGTGATAACGTCTTCTTTTTTTATTTGAAAAAGAAGACATGTTAGCAAAATGAAAACACTGTACTTCAGTTCAAAGCTCCATGTTAAATATACTGCAACAGTACACTTCTGGGTTTGAATATAAAAATGGGGACTTCAATGGTAACAGAACAAAGACAGACGTACTTCAAAAGAAAGTAAAGTACAGCCTGTACAGCTTAAATTTAATTAAAGCACCAAGGGGCAGAAAGTTTAAAGTGTTTAAGTTAATCTTTTTAAAATTGTTCTCTCAACTTGGAAAGTCACAAGTAAAATGGATATTCTAAAAAAATCCAATTAACAGCCCTGCTGCCTTTCTACATTTCAGTGCAGCTTTTAATCTTGTAAACTAGGTGATGAGGTTTGTACTGAATCAGGACTCCACACTGGACAATATCTTCTTGTAAACTGCAAAGATGTACAGCCATTGAAAAGAATCAGCTTCCAGATGCAAAATGCCAGAGACAGAAATGACATAAAAAGAGAGCACATGGCTCTGAGTTCGTCTAGCTGTCGTGTTGCTAATTGAATTTGTGGGTGCTTTGTTTAAGTCAGAAGTACAGAAATTGGATGCCATTTTGAAAGTATCAGTCCAGTACATATTCACTCTTTCGATTGATAGATTATGTGGAATACATGGGGGGAGGGGAGGAGTATTTCACAGAGCCTCATTCAATTATTTGCAATATTAAAGTAATGCTTATGTATTGTACTACAGCCAACCCGTAAATCACCTTGTGGAGTTATGGCTTAGCGGGCGGGAGAGACAATCTCTCTCCTACCCATCGTTAAGTTTATTACATAACTTTCCAATTTATCACCTGAACTTATATAACATGGACAAATTTGTGCACCTTTATGTAACATATCCATGCACTTCAGTAGAAAATAATAAACCTTTTGAGGGTTTTTTTAAGTTAACCTCTACAATTTAATAAAGAATTATATCTTGTCTACAGAATTCTATGGAATGGGGCAGCACATTTACGCAGATGATATTATACTCTGTTATTATCATGCCATAATAAGCATTAATCCTTTACAGAAACAGATTGCAATCCTTTTGGAAAACTAGCTTTCACCAGTTTGAATCTGCCCCTCTTTCATGGTCACTGAACTCCTACATCATCATAGTGAGCCTCTTCCTTTGTAGCAGAGACTAAGGCCCTGGCTCTGAAGGTCGAGTGATCAGTGCAGGCAAGAGGCCATGCATGCAGAGCCCCCACTGAAGTTAGTAGAGTTCAGAAACGCAGGGGTCAGTTTGCCTGTATCAGCCTTCTGTACCACGGCCTAACTCAGGTAAGGAGGAAAAAAAGTGACCAATAATAGATAACGTCTACTTCTATAGGGTCTTATCCAAAGCCCACTGAATTCAAAAGGAGTATTTCTACGGATTTCAGTGGGTTTTGGATCAGGCCTATGAACTATTTCAGGGATGAAATATTAGAGGAATGAACTATTTCCCTCAAATGGATCAACCCGAGTGAAAGAAGATAAATTTAGGGCCCAATCTGCCTCCTTCGGAGAGCAACCTTAAAATGCCATTTCACTCTAGTGAGAACAAGATGCCTACAATCATTTTCTTTGCTTCTACCATCTGGTGGGTAAGAGTAATCGTCCACAACATGTAGGGACGTGATCTCAATGTTTAGTTTCCTTTTTGCCAACTTTAATTGTTTGGAAACTACTTTGTCTGACTTTGGATTTGGCTTTTCTGACTGGGAAACATACTGCTAAGATACTCTATGCTAAATATAAACTCTCCTCTCATCCATGTGACTGTACCATTCCAGCCTGTGTGACCTCCCTTTTGTATGACTATCTGAGACAATGGGGAGTCATTAAGCTTGACCAAGGCTCATTATATGGCCCTTCCATACTGGTCTGGCCATGCAAAGGGCCATACAGCTGCACTAAACAGACAGCTGGTGGGTTCCCCTGGCTGGGCAATTCCCAAGATGGCAAAATCCTGGCACAGCTGGGAGTAAGAAGGCATGGCCCCATCTCTAAATTCTAGTTATTCCTGGTTACAGGGGGAAAAACAAACACTTTATGACCATTAATAGCCAATATAAGCCACATTGTAAGGAAATTCTCAGAGGGGACAAACCAGACCATGGATTGAAGGATTCCCCCCAACCTCTTCCTTAGGATTACACAGAGCCTCTGTCAGTGATGTTTTCTCCTACCCTATTTGTTTTTATTTAAGTCAATAGAAACACCCATGGGAAGACATGATCACTTAACCATGATAATCAGTTTTGTACAGGTAGAAAACCAATTACTCTTGCCAGTGCTTTGAAGATAACCTTTAAATAAGATTTCCAAAGCATTCTTATTATACAGTAGTAGTCGTAGAAATAGTAATAATGATGAAATATCATCATTACATTTTCTTTACATGTAAATTGTTAACAGAGATGCAAATGAATTACCTTTGCTTGAGTATGACATTTAGTTCTTCTGATCCACTGAACAGTTATATTGTTATTAAGCAAGACATAACTAGTGTTATTATTTAGTCATTTAAACACTGAGCTGATTAGCCTGAACAATTAGGTGATAATTTACCCAGCATGACTGAATGACTGACAGCTCTGACATTATTATACACCTTGCAGTGATCTTTAATTTCTTCTGAAGTGACTGAAAAATTATTGGTAAACAATAAAAATTATTGGAACTGAACCTTAGTTTCCCTTTTAAAAATAATAGAAAAAGGAGCCTATACATGAATATCAATTTGAACAATGTAGAGAGTCTGTCTTAATCAGTTTGTGCACAATTAGTAACAGAACTGCACACAACAGTGATCTTTACAGCATTAATTCAAGATTAGCATATCTGGGTTCAACCCAGATAAAAAAGAACTAAAAGCAAAGGTGCTACACTCTAGGTGGTTATTAGCTGCTTAAAAATTGGCAGAATATCAACCTAGCAAATGGGCACCATTTGTCAGGAATGTACAAACAAGGAGCAATTATTTGGATAATGTCAGTAATCTTTTGCAATAAGCCCAGCATGTGCTATTTTAATTAGAGTGCAGCAATATTTAATAACTCCAAAAATTCCTGCTGCACAGACCTTAGATTTCAAAGGTGTTGCAGCACTAAACCATCTCCCAGGCCTCAGGAGGTGCTGTGACATTTAACAGTTTCTCAGACCTCAGAAGGTGCTGCCATGTTACACATCCACATTTTCAACTTTCATAGCTAGTTCTCCCCTTCCCTAATGTGCAGACAACTAATGTGCCTGCAAGCATGTGGATTCTGGATTGGAGATCCTAGCCTACAGCCCATGCTCAGGCAAAACTCCTGCTCTCTTCAGACCCTCGGCAAAATCATATTTTCCAGGTTTTCCAAGCACATTCTAAGGCTTTTTTCTTCCAAGTGGTGCCATCTCCCTGTGAGGAATGTAAAAAATGCTCAGCTAAATTACCCTTCCTTTTGTTCTGGTGCTAGGTGCCACATGTGCAGACAGCAGGTAGATCCTGAAGTTTGATTTACTGAAATGCACGGGAATGAAGAAACAGTAATTTTACAATGATACCACACAACTGACTGCGCATACAGGCTTTATATAAAACATGTTCCTAATGTCAGTATAAGGTGTGGTGATGAAGACACAGAAAGCTGCTTGCTCTGCCAAAGACAATGGCTTTGGTCAATATTACAGTGTTCCTAAATGTCCTAAAGACAAAGCCAGGACTCAGACCAACGCTATTGAGTTCATGAATGTTATATGGAGTCTAGGACTCATTTTGATTAAGGTAGGGATAGTTTACAATCTCTGGAAGGAAGCTTTATGGAATTAGTAATTTCTCAAGCCAGACTCAAGCAAAGGTGATTCCCCACATGAATCCAACTGTCCGGTATCCTACAACCCTGACCAGCACAAAAATAAGGAGCCTGATTCAGCAATCCTTATCTGACCTGGTCAGATTCACCATTGCAAACCACTAGATTTACTCAATGTACTGACACTTCACAAATCAAACTGCACACTCTTGGCAACATAAGCATCACTCCACTAAAGTAAATGGTGCTAGGGATAAGTAGCAGCTGAACATCTGGACCACTGGAGCTGATATCTTAGTCTTCTTCAGATTTTGTAGCTCTTCTCATCCTGAAGGAAGCTGTCTGAGTGGCAGTTCTCAAACTACAGTCTTAAATAATTTCTTTGAAGAGAGAACTGATGGCACATCAAGCTGACCTAGCCAGTGGTGCATGCACCCCAGTTTGGGAATACTCTCTCAACAGTAAGTCTCTCACCACTGAGAAAGACTTTTGGAAACACTTACACTTCTCTCCATCCTGATTTGTGATACGTTATTCTGCGGGCTTATCTGCCAGGAATTCTTCATGAAGAAGCCGATGGCACTTGAGTATCTGTCAGCAGTGGTGGTAAATTTTTTGAAAGTGCATTTTGCCATCCGGACAGGGCCATCATAAATCTGGAACCCACGGATGGGGAAGGTCCTGTGGAATTTAAGAAGAAGCAAAAAGTTCCATTTTAAAAGTGTGGGCAAGAACTAAGGAGATGCCATTGTGGTCACTGGTGAATCATTATGCCCTTTTGGGTGTGTTTTGAGTGGGTATTCTTTGCATTCTGTTTCACATAGGTGGTGTTTGTCTAAAGGGTGGCTCTGGATACCTTTACAAGTGATAATGGACTGTACCAGTAAAGGCATGTATAATTATGTTTACATCTACCTTGCTCATAGACTTAGGCAAAGCTGAATTGCTCAAGCAACAAAAACATGAAATCATACACCACTCTGCTCCATTGCTTTTTATGGTAAAAAGTGAAATGAGGGAGTGAGAATTCATTTTTTCCCAGCTGACCATATGTGCATCTCCAGGCTATAGAATTTCAACAAAATGTCCTAAAATATAAGCAAGCAGCATCCCAAAACACAGTGCACTGGGAAATGATCTGGGGTGCATTTGGCTAGGTGAGAGAGAACAGGCCGGATCCAAAACCCATTGAAGTTAATGAGAAGAGTCCCATTGATTTTAATAGGTTCTAGATTAGGCCCTTCCAATGGGCAG